TTTTTTTTTTGCCTGGCCTCCCCTCCCCTGCCCCCAAAAAATAGAAAATGCTTTTTAAAGCTTCTTCAACTAACTTAGCTATTGAAGATATTTTTTAATTAGCAACTTTGAGGATAGCATAACGTAAAAGTCATTTAAACTCTCAGTTCTTATTTCAAATAAAAATATGAGTTTGCATTTTCAAACTCATCACCAATTAATCATTATTTAAGGCAAGACTTTCTGGAAATAAAACCTTGTTTTACATATGACATTTTGAAATACCTGTGATGAAATAATTGTTCCGCAAAAAATTACCTTCAATATTTCTGTACAATCCTATCCAAAAATTGGTTTTACTTTTCAGTGGCTCAACCTGATATGACAGAAAACTAGACTCAGCAGCACTTTCGATGGAAACCAGAGAAGAACCTGAAAAGCATAAAAGGACAAATAAAATGGATGTACATTTAAGTAGCTGAAAATATTTTTGTGAACAATATTGATAGTAAGAGCCAGAAAAAACTCTACTTAAGGGCAAGAATTTCAGAGTGGACATTTTTCTTTTCAGAATTTTAGTTTCCATTCTGAAAATATGGTTTTTAAGGCATCATTTGAGTCCAAGCACTGAACTAGTCCCTGCAGGAAATTCAAAGATGAATAGGACATAGAACATGTTTGAAGAAAGTTACGGTTCAGTGGCCAGTAATAAGTTGAGATTACAAAGGGATATCATAGAAGAGAAATTAAGTGCAATATGCTATGGACATTTCAAATATTCACTTTAGGTGAAGCAACTAAAAGGGAAGATAGAGGAAATAGAATTTAAATAGAGGGGAGCACAGGACTTCAAGTAAAAAGGATAGAAAATAGTTTCAGGAAGAAGAAGTAGCAAGAGGAAAGGCAAAGAGAGAGGGAAGCACAGAACTTCTTCAGGAACAGAGATGGCTTGATTTGGTGGAAGCATAGCACCAATCTGGTCAATGGGCCAAAGAAGACATGGGTGAGGTCTCCCTGCAGAAGGAAGGACACTGGTATTTAGGGCAATGTGGTGATAAAGAACATTTAGTTGTTTTCAGGCAGCGGAATGATGCAACATACTATGGGACAGACTATTAATCCAGCTGTTATGTATGGAACCACTCAAGGTAAGGAGAGGAAACTGGAAGACCATATAGGTAACTATGGAAGTGACAACCCACATTAGATTGTGTCAGTGTTAGATTTTTTTGTTTTGTTTTGTCTTTTCCTCTTCTTGCTTTTTTCTTTTTTAATTTCAGCATATTACGGGGACACAAATGTTTAGGTTACATATACTGCCTTTGCCCCACCCAAGTCAAAGCTTCAAGCATGTCCATCCCCCAGATGGTGCACACCACACCCATTAGGTGTGTATCAACCCATTCCCTCCTCCCCTCTCCCACCTGCCTGACACCCGATCTATACGTGCACATA